ACACAACCAAAACTATAATGATGAAACACACACACACACACACACACACACACACACACACACACACCAAGTTTGGGAAGAACAAGGAAAGAAGTCAATGGCAACAATATACTGGAAGCTGAAAAATAATAGGAATTAATTCAGCATACTCAAGAAAGCTGAATCTTAAACTAGCAGTGGGAAAGCTAAGAACCCATTCTATCTCCCTAAGAATCTTTAAATAGTTCAGAAACTGATAGATTCAGGTACCTCCGGAAATGAATATTATAGTATGGGGTTAAAATAATATGGGGAAGTGAAGGCTGTTTAAAGATTAATTCAATTTCTTAATACCTCCTCACCCTGCCCCAATATACTTTTGAGGGAAGAAATTCTATCAATTCTATCACTGATCCTGATAGAATACTGGAGGTTTATTGTCAGAAGATGGCAAATGCCATACATAGTTGAGGATGTGAATACCAATTTTGAAAGCATGGAGACCAAGAGAGAGAGTGCATACTAAATAAATATTGAGGTTCTTCCAGGCTTTTTCCACTGTTTGGCTCCTAGAATGCTGGTATAATCCTTTAGAGAAGGAATTTGGACAATCTTTTTTGGGGAAACTTCCCCCAATAGGAAAGATGTAAAAATACTGACTTGGGACAGGGAATTTCTCCAACAAATGTCCCAGCAAGGAGACCTTAAAGTAAACCTCATGTCAACAAAGTTTATTCATGTACTCAGAGCTTACAATCAACTTTTTATCCCCTATTCATAAATATGGGCAGGAATTATCAGGCATTTGAGGAAAGCCTCTAAATGTGAAAGAAAGAGACAGAGCACAGAACAGACAGAAAAGAAAGCAAGTGGGAGAAAACAGAAACCATGGTAGTGGTGGTGGGGGCTTCGTCAAACCATAACTAACACCCTCAAAAAAATAAGAGGCAATATTCTATTTGAAATGAAATGCTATGAAAGCACTCAAGACAACAAAACAGAATTCTTAAATGTGATGGAACTTACATTATTATAAGCTTAAAACAGATTGTAATAAGTATATTTTATGTATGTCCATGGTAACAACAAAGAAAATACCTACAGAAGATACACAGAGGAATATGAGAAAGGAATCAACATGTCACTATAACAAAACAACAAACCACATATATACAAAGACAGCAGAAAGGGAGACAAAAGAGCTTTAAGACAGAAAATAATACATGACAATAGGAAGATCTTCCCTAATAATAATTATTTTAAATATAAATGGATTAAACTCCTCCAAAGACAAAGAATGGCTAAATGGATAAAATATACAAGATCCGACTACATGTTGCCTAAAAGAGACTCACTTAGCTTTTCTATTTCATTCATGATAGAGCACATGTAAGAAAGAACAGAGGAGAAGGGATTATACTGTGGCTATCCCCCCGGGGGATGATTTCTCACTTTCCCTCTCATTGTCTCTCTCTTTCTCTGGTGAGCACATGTACCTACTGGCAAAAACCTAAAAAAAAAAAAGTTAATTCAAAGGAAATAATTCTAAAATCCTTCATTCACAATGGCTATTTCATAAAAATTCAGGGACAAGAAAAAAATTAACAATTTTTCTTGGTTTTGTTTTTAAACTAGACACAACAAAGTATGTATATACTCCAAGGCCTCTTTGGATGACAAGGTAATGAGTTTTTCCATTCCAGATGTAACACAGAGTATGAATGTGAATTGATCAATGATGATTTGATCAGTGAAACAATTCTTATTTACAATATTACTTAGGTATATGTTTGCCGATTTCTCAAAGCTTAGAGGATCTGTTTTCATTCTGCTGCTTTGCTAACAGCAACTTAGGTCATGTCATTCAAAAGCAGGGTACAGCATTCTAAAGAGAAAACTCAAACAGTAACAGTAAATCCTGCTCATAACCAGCCATTGACTAATTGCAGAAGCACCATAGCTGCCAGCTATGGTGGTCCTATGACTACTACTTGATTACTACCCTAAAAAATTGGAAATTGGTATGGATGGAGTCTCATCAAGCTTTCTTTAAAGGTCAGCACATAGAGTGATTGTTGGGGCACTGGACTCCCACATGGCTGACTGTTATTAGACTCCTGGACCTGGTGGCTTGCTTTCTCACTTTCCTCTTTCTTTCTCTCTCTCTTACTCTCTCTCTCTTTCTCTTTCTGGTGAGCATATATGCCCCATAGCAAATTTTAAAAATAATAATAAATAAAATTAAATAAATAATTCTTAAAAACTATTTCTTTAAAATTCTACCTGTAGTTTAAGACCTTAAATATGCACAAGAAACATGAAAGGAAATATGCTACTTATATAGGTGCAAAGAATGAATAGTCAAAGTCAAAGATAAATATAATCATATGTTTATGTCATAATTCTTTGGTATACTCAAAGATAATTCAAAAGTATTACTTTAGGTAGAGGCAAATAAAATGAAAACACCCCATGTTGTTTTTCTTGATTTGGCCTATACCTTGTTTGGCTCCCCTGGATTATATGAAGAAAACATAGGAATTTTTCGGATCTCTTCCTCTGACAAACGATTTCTCTGGATCTCATCTTCTGGGACAAATTCTATTGGCTGCGTCAGCTTCTTAGGCTCAGTCCAACACTGCTCAGGTGAAAAATCAATAACTTTTGCCACATGGAGACTGGGACCTTTACCCTGTGCTGCCTGTTTTCCCTTGTCCTGGAGTAATGATGGGTTCTCAGCTGTGCCACTATCACCCGCTGATGCAGCTGAGACCAGTGAGTGGGAAGCAAAGGGTTCACCTCTCATAAGTTGGAATTCTTCAAGACGTTTTCTCATTATCATCTCTTGGTAAAAATTTTCCAGGTTGTTCATGGGATCACCTTTGTTCTTCTTTTGGGGTTCATCTGGATCAAGACAAAGAGACAGGGAAGTTCTACAAATCCTATCAATACCATCTTTGACAAATTAAGAAAAAAATAAATCCTGGATCTCAGCTATAGACACTCTGCTTGGGCAGGTCTTTATAACCTGTGATAAATGACAATAGTATACAGCTATCTTATTACAATGCATGTTAAGCACAGTCAGAACTATGGTGAGGCAAGTGAGGCACCTAGGACTCTCGGGGTCATGCAAGTTTATCTCTTAACTGATAAGCACACTTAGAAACATAGTCGGTATGGTATTACCACATATCACAAAATTAATCATAATTCCTTAGTATTATCTAATACTGAGTTCACACTTAAATTGCCCTGATTACTTCAAAGATATTTTTTACACTTGACTATTCAATTTAACAGCATAACCAACTTTTGGCTGTTATATTTCTTTAGTCTCTTTTATTCTAAAATAGTACCCCTTCTAGCTAATTTTATCCTCAATCCATTGATTTACTAGAAAAACCACATTTGTTTTTATGAAAAAAGGAATTGGATAAATTATTTACTGAAGGTATTATTTAACTTGTTTCTCAATCCCCTCTTTTTCTTGGCAGTTAAATCTAGAGCTATGCTATCTAATATAGTAGCCACTGGTCACATGTACCTAAATAAATAAATTCTCTAATATCAGTTCCTCGGTCAAACTTAGCACATTTCAAATAGTTACATGTGGCTCGTAGATATCATATAGAACAGAACATATAAAGACCACTTTTAGGCAATAATCCTTCATAGATAGATGTGCACTTCCTAATGCATCATGTCATAAGACACATAATGTTTGGTGGTCCCATTTTTAGTGATGCTGAAATTGATCAGTGAATTCAAGTGAGATCAGTTTTGTCCTTCTATTATGAAGTTCTCCCCTTCACCTTTTATCTAATGGGTTCTTCATCCACTGAGGATCATAGCTTAGATTATTGATCTATTAAGAGTCATAAAATGGGACTTTCCTAATTCTACGATTTCTTTTGTATTTATCATCTGGAATTCTATAATGAACTTACCGTCATGAGTTACTTGGTTAACCTAATAATTCATACAGGAAAGGCAGATGCTTGATTCTTTCATATTATTTACCAATTATGAGGATAATGAGTTGGTGCTTCAGAAATGTCCAATTGTGGGGGCCAGCAAGTGGTGTGGGGATTAAGACTGCTGGACTCCCACATGGCTGACTGTGGTTTGAGTCCTGGACCCAGTGGCTTAAAAATCATACTAGGCCTGTATGTATGTGCACCCAAAATCCTGAGAGGAGAATGGAGAAGGGATTGTGGAGTGGCCATCACCTGGGGGGTGATTTTTCACTTTCCCTCTCTGTCTCTTTCCTCTCTCTTTGGGAGTGCATGTGCCCTACAGCAAAAACAAAACAAAACAAAACAAAACAAAAAACTGTTCAATGATGACCAGTTATTTTTAGCATGAAATCATGCATTTTCATGTGTCTGAATAAAATGTAGTATTTTCAGTGGTCAGATTATACCACTTAAGACAACTGGTAGCCCCTTGAAACCCACTCTAATATTGTTTCCTTGTTTTCTGGCACAGCAAGATATCCCAAGCTTACAGTGCCTAGAAGGTGACCTGATGCTTAAGGTATTGGACTCCCACATGGCTGATCGTGATTGGAACCCTGGACTTGGTGACCTGAAAATCACATCAGGTAGGTGTGCATGCATGCCCAAAATCCCAAGAGGAGAATGGAGAGAATTTTGCATCAGGGCCATCCTTCCTGAAGGGTGATTTTTCACGTTCCCTCTCACTGTCTCTCTCTGGTGATCACACATGCTCTATTGTAAAAAACTAAAAGAAAAGAAAAAACGATATCCCAGGGACCAGCAGGTGGCATAATGGTTACATCACTGGACTCTCATATAGTCAACAGTTTGAGTCCGGAACCTGATGGCTTAAAACTCGCACTGGGATTGTGTGCATGCATGGTTAAAATCCTGAGAGGAGAATGGAGGAGAAGGAATTGCACCATGGCTACTCCCCTGTGGGGTGATTTCTTGCTCTCTGTCCCTCTGTCTCTGTCTGTCTCTACAGTGAGCACACATATCTTATAGCAAAAATCTCTGGGGGGAAAAAAGATATCCCAATTTATTTTGCACATTTCCTACCATAAAACTGGAATATTTCTCCAAGGATTCTAAGTTCTCTTTAGTAGAAAGTGTTATTTAGAAACCTCAGTTTGTGTTCATTGTTGAGCTGTTGCTTTCATTGGACTAAGACAGGGCAGTTTTTTAAAAAGAATTATTTATTTATTTAATTCCATTTGTTACTGTAATTTTTTAATTTAACGAGAGAGAGAGAGAGAGAGAGAGGGAGAGAGAGAGAGAACAGGAAAGCAAGAAAGCAAGCCACCAAGTCCCAGACTAGAACCATGGTCGGCTATGTGGGAATCCAGAGCCTTTAATCACCATGCCACCTGCTGGCCCCCAAAGATAGCATATTTTAAAAGAGAAAAACAAATCATGAGTCTATGTTGGTATTCCAATTAAAATAGAAGATTGTAAGGTTTTTACTTAAATGTCCTTATTTTAGACTTCTGCCATTTGTTATATGCTTAAAATATTAGCTCCTAATAATTTTAACAAAATTACTTATTAGCTTCTACCTACAATACACTTATAGAATTTTAAAATATCAATATAATACTAGTAAGGTGTTATGTATAACAAAAATATCTACTGAATACAATCTTCTATTTCTTTGCAGTTACTTTTGTCCTTAAAATAGTAACAGGAATATACAAATATTGTTTTAAAATCACTGTAAGTAGGGAGGACAGTAGGCACTGGAACCCACATGGCTGACTCCGTGGTCTGAATCTCAGATCCGATGGCTTAAAAAACTGGGTGCATTTGTGTGCATGCCTAAAATCCTGAGAGGAGAATGGAGAAGAAGGAATTGTGGCATGGTCGTAACCCCGAGGGGTGGGGGAGGGTGATTTCTCACTTTCCTCTCACTGTCTGTTTCTCTCTGGTGAGCACACATGCCCCCGGGCGAAAACCTAAAAAAAAAAAAAAAAATCACTGCAAGTAATTGTTTTCTCTGTGTGGTTATGCTACCAACTTCATTTATTGTAGGCAGGTTTTTTTTTAATTTCAGGAATTAATTTTTCCCCTTTTGATTAAATATCTTAATTATGCGAAACATTGACATGGATCTAAAGTGAAAACTGTTAACAATACCTTCACAGAAGTCTCACTTCCACCTCTCTCCCTTTCAACCCATTCTCTTCTTTCACCATTAATAATATTCTTATTAGTTTTTTTTTAAGTTAGGCTTATGGTTCCATTGTTTATTTTTTTTAAAAATATAAGCAAATAGGCATATGAACATACATACAATTCTTTAGTTATACCTCCTTCTTATGTGAAAGGTAATTTATTACAAACACTGGTCTACAACTTATTTTTTTTTGCACTTAATAATACATCTCGGAGATAATGTCATATTAATATGGAAAGCTAGTCCTCTTCCTTCTTATATCTACACAACACTCCATTGTATGAATGTATCACAGTTTATTCAACTACTCCCCTACTGATACAAACTGGTCTTGTATCCAGCCTTATGCTGCTTTGAAAAATGCCGTTACAAATAGCTTCATGTACACAGAATTTGGTATTTTTCAAGTATATATTTAAAATAAGTCCTAAGTAAAAGAATTGCTGAGGCAAAGGATAAATGTGTAAGTCCTAAGAAATAGAATTGCTGAGGCAAAGGATAAATGTGTATGTAATTTTCCTGCATACTGCTAAATTTTACTTTTTAGAAGTTGTACTATTCTGTATTCCTACCAGCAAGACATAAGAGTACTTAGGAAAGTATATCTTAAACAAAGAGCACTAACCATTAAATAAGAGACTGATAAATTTAACTACATTAAAATTAAGAATTTCTGTTCATCAAAAGCCTCATAAAGATAGGAAAAGAAAGCTACAGATTGGAAAATGTATTTGCTAGAAAAATAACTTTACAGGGCTGGTCCCACAGTGCAGTGGTTAAGTGCTATACATTGGGAGCCAGATCCAACTCAGCCAACCAGTTTTAATCCTGGTCCTGTGATTTAAAAACATGCTGAGTATGTATGCAAGCTTGCCCAAAATCCTGACAGAAAGGAGAAATGTTGGAAAAAGGAGTGCAGAGTGTCCATACCCTACTGGGGGCTGCTGTCTGGTGAGCACATGTACCTTCTAACAAGAATGAAAAAAAATAATAATGAGAGAAACTGAATTTAGGAAATGTACATAACTCTACAAATTAATAAAAGAAAAAAGAATGCAATTATTAGGGAAAGGAGCAAATGACTGAAGACATATTTTACAAAAGAGAAAGTATATGTATTTGATAAGTATATTAAAAAATGCTTGATGACATTAGAAATCACAGAAATGTAAATTAAGGGAATGAGATACTATTAGAAAACTGACATGCTAGCAAACACTCTTTTAAATGCCCACATCACTTATAAGTGAGGTTGATGAACAACTGGGACTCTCATACATTGCTGGTTGGAATGTGCAGTCATAGTGCAAATCAGTATGACATTATTTACTAATGCTGAAAATATGTTCTACATGCAACCCATCAATTCCACTCCTACATATATATTTTAGGAAAAATGTGGGTTTCTGTATACCACCATAGAATAATAAGAACACTCAAATCAGGGCTATTTATAATTGCCTAGAACTAGCAAAAATATCAATGCCTAGGAAGAATTGATTAAAAAATTCTAGGAAGTTTACATAATAGAATACTATATTCCAATAAAAGTGAACAAATTTCAACTACACAAGACCAAGTGGGTGAATATACTAATGTATACACTCAAAAATATTCATTGCTTCCCTAGCAACCGAGCCGGTGCCACCAGCCACCAGCACGCGTGGGGCCCGGCAGCGCTCCCGCGATGCCTCTGCAGGTCAGCGATTACAGCTGACAGCAGACGA